TCGAAGAATGCGAGCTCGAGAGAAGTATGCAGGATAGGGAGTTATATTTGGATGATCTATTGCAACAGCTCTGACATTCGGCTGACGGCGCATATGAATGGGCAATAACGCATGCTGACCGTACACGACTTGTACTTCATTATGTAACATACGTCATATATTTCTTGTTTGCACTATTACATACCTTCTTTTTTTTTTTTGCTGCTCTGTTCTGCTTACTTCTGCTTACTTGTGCTTACTTTTGCCTTGTTTTGTTCATTTTCTGTGTAGTCCACTTCTTTTAACATGACCATAGGAACAGGTGCGTACCGGTTAAATGCATATAAAATGTAGATTTAAATGAATAATATGAACGGGTAGTATTCTCCTTTATGGGACATTCATTATTAAAAGATGAGCACGTGCATTCTAAGGCTATAGTGTACAACTAATATAGAATGCGCATACGCATTCGAGTATAAGGAGATTGTCTCCGAGCGCAACAGGCTGCGTGTAACAACGATTCGACGAGGTAGCCGCGTGTAAGAACGAGCAGCGATTGTCTCGCTGAGCACACGCGTCGAACAACGCGGCAGGGCAAGGCGGTTCGAGTACGGGGTTCGAGGTAGGATCCAGAGAAGGAACAGAGAGCGGGAGGTGCGGAGGAAGGAATACACATATTATGTGGGGGCGCGACCAAGAAACGGCAACGACGGTAGCAACGGCGGCACGAAGAATTGATGTTGTTACTGCGGTTTGGTTGTGCACGCACACAGAGACAACGTGTGTGTGACAGGCGTTTAGTGGACACCGGTGTAGACAGGCGGGAGCGGGCGTTATTCATGACGCGTTGTGTTTGAATGGTAGTGTAGTCGTACTTTTTTTTTTTTTCCTTTCTACATTTCTTTTTCTTTTTCTTTTTTTTACATTTTTTTTTTTTTTTTGTCTTCGCCTGTATTTATTCCTCTGCCATGCCCCATATATGGTTTCTGCGGCATTTAATAATAGTTCAAGAGTGGATTTGCATAGAGGGCAGATAGTTGTTTTGTTCTCTATAGAGTTCCCATGTTATGTGTTCAGGCCAGCAATTACTCATCAGGAGTAAAGGTAGCATATAACAAGGTCTAGTGCGGCCATGTGACGGTTAATATAATTCAAGTGGGACATTGGCACAATACTCAGGTGTGTAATATTTGAGCTAATCGAAGACGAAGAAGTATGTCGGCTAAGGAATTAGCGGATATATTGGCACAATACGTAAAGGAAAGGAACATACAGGGACCGTATGAGGTAATTTCCTATACATACAAGCCGCGTGCGGCGGTGTGCACAAGGCAGCACATGTGTGTGTATAAGCGCAGCATACTACAGGGCACCAGCATCTCGGACACGTGCTTGCTTCATATATACCGCATACGGCACATTTACATGTAACAGGAAGGAAGGGACACATATAATTACATGATTGCAACGGTTGCTGAATAACCGTGTGCGACCACATAGATATATGTGAATTGTGTTCAACACAGGCTGCTTTATGGAAGGATATGCACACACAACTGGAGATTTTTATTACGGATATGAAAGATGACAGTCAGTACGACAATGCTATTCCCTGTGAGAATGCATACTGGGAGCATCCAGCAGAAGATGGCAAGACAGACCAACGACCAAGGGAGATGACCAGGCGCAAAGAGAGAGTTATATGCAGACTCATGACGCAAGCGATATACTTTGCAAATGCATGGACTGACGCAGCACGGAAAAACGCAAGCCACGATGACCAAAATAAGGAGATAAAGGGAATAATGAGATGCACCATAGCGGATATATACAAAGACATACTGACGGAACACGGATGCGAAGGTCACTGGGGCACATATTACGCATGGTGGGTGGTGGACCAAATATCGCAAGCAATGAAGGCACCTGGGCGCGAGCAGCATTGTAAGCGGGGTATGTATAACACTATACACTTAGGGGACTGGCCCATGAGGCAGCAGATGAAGACATGGCTAAAGCAGAATGAACAGATGAAGGAGAGACTTGAACAGGAACGCATAAGCGATGGGTGCCAGGGCAGAACATTGAACATAGGGAGCGACATGACAAAGGAGTCAGAACAAAAGACAGATGAAACCACGAAGACTGCAATGAGGCAGGAGGCACAAGCAATTTTGAATGAAATGAAGAAAGAAATGAACGAGGAGGAGCAACGATTAAGGGCGCCAGGTGCGCCAGCACCCACGTACGATTCTGTGGGCGAAGAACACGAACAAAGGGGTGACCAGATAGACGCACAAATACAACACGCAATCGAGGAAGTGAAAGACAAAATAAAGGAACTGATCGAGAAGACTGCCCGTGACAAGGCAGCCGCCGCCAAAGCAGCAGCGGTGACAAAACCAGCCACGACCACCTCGGCAACCACAAAACCGGTAGCTGCAGGAGGAGGAGACCAGAAACGGCCGCAGCCCTCGGCACCATCAACATCAGGAGCAGTAGGAAGGGCAGATTCTCCAGCACCTGCTGCACCACCTGGCGCAGACGGGACAGGTGGGAACCCTGGAAGTAACAAGCCACAGGAAGGTGAGTTAGACTGCGAAAACGAGGATTCCAGTGGTGTTCTTTCAGGAACAGAAACCCATACAGGGTCTAGTGTCAGCGTTTCCAAGGGTCGTCATGCTATGCCAGGACAACTTCCCTGTAGTGAGTTGAAGAACTTACTACGCCAACAGGATATAACGAGTTCCCCTCCTGCTGTCATAGGTGGCGGATCCCCGGAACCTCGCCCTGCTGGTAATGCTCTGCGCCGTGCACACTGATACCCAATACTGGTCCTCACAATGCACTTATGCATACTCCCAGGAATGGCCCTGGAGGGGCCCAAGAACAAAAAAAAAACAAAAAAACAACTTTTCCGCGGAGAGAGAGGGAGAGAGACAGGGAGCGAAAAACCAACGTCGAATGAGCGAGAGCGATCGGCCAAGCGACGGGTCGGCCGCGGGATGTACACGTAGCCACGTAGACGTAAACGTAGACCTAGACGGACGTCGACAGACACACATAGTGTGTGTTGTGTGTGGCAGAGAGAGAGTCTTTTCCCGGAGTGGCACCTGCCACCCTCCGTTCGTCTCCCCAACGCCTGCCTCCGTCCCCTCCGTCCCCGTGGCACCGTCTCCCCAACGCTTGCCGCTGTCCCCGTGGCCAACCATCAGCTACAGACCACCCGTGTAGCTGACCGTGTAGTCAATCAACGACCGCACAAAACTGTAGTTTCATCACATTCACTTACCCTTCATTCAGGCACAGAGGATGCAGCCCGTACCCCAATACAGAATCCGGAGCATGCGCAGCCCACTGCAGCTGTGGGGCGCGTACATAGTGCGGCAGACGAGGAGGCAAAGGATAGGGAAGCCCAGGAGGAGGCTCGTCGGGCCCAAGAGAAAGCCGTCCAGGACGAGATTCAAGCTATAGAAAACTGGGAGACAGCAGAAAAAGAGGACGCACAGAAAATAAAACAATGGGTATCGGATGGTACTAAAGCACACAGCGACTTTGGACTTGAATTAACGCGTACATCAAAGGAAACGAATGATCCAGGAGGAGGAATTGCACCACCCACGTTACACGCGGGAACTTCTAATCATCCCATTGAATACCCCGGTACACCCGGGAATCCGAATAATGGTCCCGATGTCCCCGACCTAACCGGTACGGTCCTTACCGCCACTACTCCCGTACTCTTCTTCCTGTCCGCCGTCACCGTCGCCCTCCTTGGTTATTCCCTTTGGAAGGTAAGTAAATACGCGACGCCGTATATGTTCATCCGTAATATGTACCATAAGAGTGTGTTTCTACGGAGCTTCCTTACATGATGATGCCAACAAATGCATTTTCCTCATGGTCCTCGTTCCTTTTATTTGTAGTACTTTGCGTACCTCGCCAAACGACGACGAACATATCGCACCGTTCGTAACGTGCCGTCACCGCCACTCGACGAAGACATATTGGCGCATCTACAACGAGGAGCGCCGCCACCACCCGATTACGGGTACACGATGATTAGGGATAGGCGGCCTGCGTCTGCTGCCGCACGACGACGCCGCGGACGACGCCCCCCACGCGTGCATAGGCGCACGATTATCGAGCTACATCTAGAAGTGCTCCACGAATGCGAAACAGCCGAGTGGGAAAACGTCAACGACGACTATTTGCAAATACTCGTTGAACAGTTTATGGGGGGAAACAACGGACATAGTAGTTCCCCGGCTTCTTCTTCGAACGAGGAATCAACAACCGGCCATTCGACAAGCCACAGCCGCCTAACGCGGGATCCCACCGCAACGGATTCCTGTCTACCTAACGACGATAACCCATGGAGGTGTATGGAAAGCATACAGTTCGCCACGGACCCTTGTGCACCGCATGCACACGACCACGATCCATGGAGTTGTATGCAATCCATACAGTTAGATGCAGAACAGAGTCGTGCTCATTCCAACCACAGGCAGGCGAACTCGGCCCACGACTGGCATACCCATTGGATCCCTTGGATTGACCGAAACAAACATATTCTGCGGGCGTGCACGACGCAGCCGTGGTTTTTGCAATTAAAAGCGGATTGGAAACAATATCTGCGCGAGCACATGGTGGCAAACGGAGCATCCGGTGAGCACAGGACAGCCGCAACCATGGAAACGCAGAAATTGCATGCATGGAAAGAATGGGTAGCGCAACAACATCGGCAAATGCGTATGTATGGCCAGGAGGCGTCGTTCCAACATTTGTTGAATAATGTAGAGGAGGAGACAGAATCGCACAAAGGCGACATACCTCGCGTAGAACAACACTTAGACGTGGAAAAAGTAATGGCAGCACACGATATGCTACGCGTGACAGATTTACCGCCCCAGCAACTGCATGAGCCACCGCATATGAAAAAACCGTTAACCGCTCACACATGGATACTGATCCTGGCATTAGTCATAGAACAGTGCAAAGTCGAACGCAGTTTGCAGGATAGGGAGTTATATGTGGATGCTCTATTGCAGCAACTGTGACATTCGGACGACGGGGCACATGAGTCGGAAATAACGCATGCTATCCGTACACCACTTTTACTTCATTATGTGACATACAACATATATTTCTTGTTTGCACTATTACATACCTTCTTTTTTTTTTTGCTGCTCTGTTCTGCTTACTTCTGTTTACTTGTGCTGCCTTTTGCCTTGTTTTGTTCTTTTTCTGTGTAGTCAACTTCTTTTCATATGACCATAGGAACAGGTGGGTACAGCTTAAATGCATATAAAATGTACATTTACATGAATAATATGAACGGGTCGTATTCTCCTTTATGTGAAGTTAATTATTAAAAGATGAGCACGTGCATTCTACGGGTATCGTGCAGAACAAATATAGCATGCGACTCCGCATTCGAGTATAAGGAGAGATTGTCTCTCCGCGCACACGCGTCGAACAACGCGGCCGGGTAAACCGCATTGTAGCCGAGTGTAAGAAGGTACACATTTTTTCTCCGAGCAAACGCGGCTGAGTATAAGACGGATTCGACGACGTAGCCTAGTAAGCATTGTGCCGCGGGCAACAAGGAGGACGATTGTCTCTCCGAGCAAACGCGTCGAGCAAGCGCGGCCAAGTGTAACAACGATTCGACGAAGTGGCCGAGTAAGCATTGTGCCGAGGGTAAGAACGGAGGTAGAGATTGTCTCTCCGAGCAAAGGGTCGCTCCGAGTACAAGAACGGGATTGTCCAAGCAACGTGACAGCGAGGCATTGACGGAACAGGCGTTGACGGGAGAAGCGTTGACGGAGAAGACGTTGACGGAGACGGGGTGACGGAGAAGCGTTGACGGGAGAGGCGTTGACGGAGAGGCGTTGACGGAGAACGGGGTGACGGAGACGGCAGCGACGGCAAGGACGGCAGCAACGACGGTAGCAACGAAGACGCGGTCAACGCGCACGGCAGCATCTGGTGCTGCTGGGGGTGCTGGTGGTAGACCTAGTACGGGAGTTGCCGTAGGACGTCAGCACGCGAACGGGAACATGGCGGACACCGCGGACAAAGAGTGTGAAGGAGAAAGAATAGTGCAGCAAGGGCGTAACGCGGTGTACGTGGTGACCCCACGTGATGTAAGTTCGATTACACAGCCAGTGCCGCGATGGGCAGGACACAGGAATCAATATAAGAGGACTTTGTTGATACGGGCACTTACACATACATGTGAGAATGTATATGTATTTATGTGCAACAATATAGATAACATGTGACCATGGGCACTTTTTTAATGTTCATGTGCAACATGTAGGATAACGCATGGAACAACTGGAAGCAAGTGTTGGAGGCATTTACGGAACATATGGAGGCAAACAACGAACTAGCCGAAGCGTGGGGGGCAAACTGTTATAATACTGGTTGGAATGATTTCGGCAAGGGCCATGACAATCATACGGGGCAAACCGTAGCAGATGTGGTACGGTGCAGAGTTATGAGTGTTGCATGGGCCTTCGCAAATTGGTCGGACAAAGGTGCACACGCGACGGGGCCAGGGGTCCACATGACGAAGGAACAACAGAATATGTTCAGGTGTGAAGTGGTAAATATCTTTGGACACTTACTGAAAGAAAAATATTGTTCAGAGCAAAAAGGATACAGGAGAGGTGTAGAATATTCTCGGATAGCATTCAAGAGTATGCAAAGCGCGGGCATAAATGGAGTGGGAGCAATCAATGGTCCTGTTATAGATGGAACATGCACAGCATGTGGGTACGGCGAGAATCGAAGGTGGGCACACGCGATAAATTTGAAAGTAGTAGAGTGGCTCATGCAGCACGGGGACATAATGAACGAAATAGCAGCAATGGAAAGGGCAATGCCGTGTACAACAAAATGGACAGATTACATTAAGCAGCTGGACCCCGGGCAGAAACCTATTAAGGGTGGGAACACAGAAGGGGGAACGCTCAAAGACCGTTTGAGCGAAGCAGGGAAGAAGAAGATAGAGACAGCAGAGACGCAGCTGGAAGGAGCAGTAACACAGATACTTGAGAAAGTCGCGCAAGCCACAGACCACATACTGCAGCGAGCAAAGGAGGCGTTTCAGGAAGTGCAGAAGAACGCGAACACGGACGCAACTGAAACGACAGGTAACAATACGATTTGTAACACTACGAACATATGGCCCATACCGACCATGGCCGCATACCGGATCATACTGCCGCATACGCATACGCCGCGCGCACGGGTCGTACGGCCGAATATGGATGCGCATGCCGCCACAACACGAACACGCGGCGGAACAGCGTGGCACATCTTCGCTGCCACACGTTGCTGCCCCACTTCGGTGTAGCGGCGCTGTGCGGCCGCCACGCCGGTAGCGACGAGCATACCGTTCGCACCGTTGGCCACTGTGTAGACGAGTGTAGACGAGGTCTGTGTGTGCTGCGATGACCAGTGTAGCGGCCGCACAGTGGTGTGACAGTGGTGCGTGGGATGCAGCGGCCACGACGGGAACGGTAGCCGTAGCGGTAGCGACGACGACTGGGTACACGACATGACGGAGCGTAACGGCGGACGAGATGACGGCAACAACAAATACAAGTTGTACTGCTATCACCTCCGTCCACCGATTACGCAGTCCACCGAGTGCGCCCCCCTTTCTTCCTGTCTTTGTCCTCTTCTAACAACGTGCGCGCTCTCTAACACCGTCCCGCCCCTACCCTGCCGCTACCTGACCGCACCGTCCCGCCCCTTCTTTCTGTA